TGGATGCACACGAATTTAACACAAACGGCAGCTACACGAAAAACGCGAACAAAAAATACGTTTCGTAAGTAGAAAGGGACGAGTTCCTCTCACTATTTTTTATTCAAGTTTTGTTCTCGGTGAGTACGTGAGAGGTGGCAAGGCAGGCGAGAACGCAATTCTTCCGCTGATCTAATATTGTTCCGAACTGTTGCATCCGGAAATGGACTGACGCAAGCACGTATACACGCATGCATATACGCATGCGCACGCACAAGATCTTCAATTTTTACACCACCGATGGTTCGTATTGTGAAGCTATTCTCTATTACTGTGTACAGTTTTGGTAATCTAATAATGGTAATATAAGATTTGCCCGTGTTATCTCTGAACGGACAGTAACACTTTGATTGGCACATTTACTGTTTAGGTATATTTATCCGTTGGATTTTATCAGCTGTTATGGTTTGGAACGTATGGACTGCACCTGTCACCTGTGCTCACTTAATTGTACTCGACTAACTGTGGTTGCAGTGGTCCAGTCTCAGCTCCTGACCTTGCCTCTCCACTGACCGCTACTGGTTTCTCTCCTGGCTGCGTGAATCCTGTAATACTTATTCTTAAAACTGTGGGTAGATTCCATCTCTACCCCTTCGCTCTGTAGGTCCTTCCTAACATCCTTGTGACGCATGTGTGTTTCAAGCATCCAGCTGTGACCTCGTGGATCTGAGATGCACCTCTCGAACACTCTCTCCCTGTCAAGCCTGTCAATTCCTGAGTATTTGAATGTAATCTTGCCGCCTTTGGTCCTTCTATCCTCTAGTGTCCGCCAGGTTTAGCTCCTCTAGCCTCTCTTCTCGGGTCTGCCGAGGTGATGGTGGCGTATTTTTTCAGGATATCTGACAGTTCAATAGATGAAGGCTTTTGAAGGAGTACTGAGCTTCGAAGTGTTAGCACGGATTCTCCTTGCAATTGGAGTCTCACACTGTAGTGAGATTACACGTTGAGTAAGAGGGGAAGCGTGGTTCAGAGGTAATTTACTAGCCTTGTAGCAGCATGGCCTGAGCTCATATCCCACACTAAGGCCTTCAAAATCTTTCTTGTTCATACACTTGGATGCCCCTTTCAATATGGCAGAGGTACGTACCTTAACCTAATGTGGTGTATGTTTACCTCAGTTGAGGGCACTGAGGTGGTTACACGTACCGTTCTAGATTAACAGTTAAGCTCGCTACTTAATTCGCTTTAGATTTTATGGGAAGTTGTTGTTGACGATGTTTGGCGACTTTTTTTGCCAGCTTCATCTGCTGATCGTAGTCAACGACCCTAATGTGGCTTGGCATCAAATCCCACCACCCGTCGGCCTTGTCTAAGTAGTTTCAGATTTTCCACAGAGCTGCAAAACTCCATGGATAACTACATGGTGTGTCTGAGACACAAGGTGTGTGCGCGCGCGCGCTCACCTAATTGTGGTTGCCGGGAAGGGGGGGGGGGTCACAGCTCCTCTGTACTCACCTAATTGAGGTTGCAGGGGTCGATTCATAGCTCCTGGCCTCGCCTCTTCACTGGTCGCCACTAGGTCCACTCTTCCTGCTCCATGAGCTTTATCATACCTCTTCTTAAAGCTATGTATGGTACCTGCCTCCACTACTTCACTTTCTAGACTATTCCACTTACTGACAACTATGGATGAAGAGATACTTCCTAACATCCCTGTGATTCATCTGAGTCTTCAACTTCCAATTGTGACCTCTTGTTGCTGTGTCCCATGTCTGGAACATCATGTCTGTCCACCTTGTCGATTCCTCTCAGTATATTACATGTCGTTATCATATCCCCCCGTCTCTCCTGTCCTCCCGTGTCGTCAGGTCGAGTTCTCTTAACCTCTCCTCGTAGGACATGCCCCTTAGCTCCGGGACAAGTCTCACTGCAAACCTTTGTACTTTCTCTAGTTTCCTGACGTGCTTGGCCAGGTGAGGGTTACAAACTGAGGCTGCATACTTCAATATGGGCCTGACGTACACGGTGTACAGGGTCCGGAACGACTCCTTACTGAGATGTCGGAATTCTTAGGTTCGCTAGTCGCCCATATGCCGCAGCAGTTAGTTGGTTGATGTGCGCCTCAGGAGATGTGCTCGGTATTATACACACTCCAAGATCATTTTTCTTGAGTGAGATTTGTAGTCTTTGGCCCCCTAGACTACTCTGTTTCCGATCGTCTTTGCCCTTCCCCGATCTTCACGACTTTGCACTTGCTGGGGTTGAACTCCAGGAGCCAGGTGCTGGACCATGCCTGCAGCCTGTCCAGATCCTTCTGCAGTCCTGCCTTATCCTCCTCCGACTGAATTCTCCCCATTAACTTCACACTGCAAACAGGGACACTTCTGAGTTTATTCCATCCGTCACGTCAATTATATATACCAGGAATAGCACCGGTACTAGGACTGACCCTTGTGGAACCCCGCTCGTCACAGGCGCCCACTCCGACACCTCATCACGTACCATGACTCGCTGCTACCTTTCCGGCAGGTATTCTCTGATCTAATGCAGTGCCTTCCCTGTTATACATGCCTGGTCCTCCAGCTTTTGTACTAGTCTCTTGTGTTGAACTGTCAAAAGCCTTCTTACAGTCCAAGAAAACGCAATCTACCCGCCCTTTTCCTTCTTGTTTTACTGTGCGTGTGTGCGCGCATGCTGTACGCCAATATTACCTGAAGAGTTACCTGGAGAGAGTTCCGGGGGTCAACGCCCCCGCGGCCCGGTCTGTGACCAGGCCTCCTGGTGGATCAGAGCCTGATCAACCAGGCTGTTACTGATGGCTGCACGCAAACCAACGTACGAGCCACAGCCCGGCTGGTCAGGAACCGACTTTACGTGCTTGTCCAGTGCCAGCTTGAAGACTGCCAGGGGTCTGTTGGTAATCCCCCTTATGTATTGGTACGGCTCGCTGTGGAGCATCCGTCAGTCTCTTCAGACAGCAGATGCATTTTTTATAATACTGACTGCCCCTGCAGCCTGTGTGTATTGGTCTACTGACCCATCAGTGTAACAGGTCACACTTCTTGATGCGGCACAGGTCGCTTCTGGTGCGGTCCCCGTGCATTCTACAATGCGTAAGTCTGCCAGCTACGTCTCCCAAAGGGCACCGACATTCAACACTTGCAGTGTGGGATCCCACACTTGTAGTGTGGGAACTCGGTGCCCTTTGCGGCGACTGCCTGCAGGTTATGGTTTATTAATGGTGTCAGCACCATAATACACCCATTCACTACTGTCACGTATTCAGTACCTGTAGGGTTCTGAAGAACGTAACTCGGGTGTGATGATCTGGCAGGGAGGCGAGCATCTTTGCTAGCAAACAGGTATTCAGCCACTTGACCCCATTCGTTAGAGGGACATGTCTGGCCTCAAGATGTGTAAAGACAGTGAAGTGGAAGCGCATGACCCAGACGTCTCCTGTTTTAAGATGATGGAGGTGGTGGTGATGCTAATGATAACGATCACGATAATCTTTGAGTATAATGCTGATTATAACAGTGACTTGCGAAGATGTCTATTAGATATCCCCTTGGCTTCATACAAGACTTTTGTAAAGTATAGGGAATAAGTTATAAACCCAAAAGGCGAAAAGAAACATTTTAATTATAAAAACTACTGTAAACACCCACTTCATATAGCCAGTCTTGGATCTGCTCAAGGATAACAATAATTACTCTACTACTCACCAGCCTGTCCACAAAAATGAATTCTATGCTAAAAATTCAGTGTTAACAACTGTGGCAGGCTACTTTCTTGGGCGGCAGGTGAAGAGCTCAGCTATATAGTGTACCTACCAGGAGATAACATCGTATTGATTTACGTAATGATTTTGGTCTTACCTAAATGCCCAAAATCTCAATAATAATAATAATAATAATAATAATAACAACAGACTACGGCCAGCATGTCCACAATGTGGGTATAATATAATAAATTTGCTTAAATGCACACACCTAATCATTTAAGTAGCAAAATGATTAGGTGATGGAGACGCAACTGTATGGTTACAAAACGCCAACATACCAGCTGGAATAGTTTTCTTGTTAATTTGTAAGGATATAAAATATACGAGGCAAAAACTTGAATAAATGTGGAAAGGCAGACGTGCATCAGACCATATCTTCCTTCAATAAGCAAGTTACAGCCTGGCGCATGTAGAGTGACGATGACAAACGCTTGCAGCTTTATGAGACCATCTTCTGCAACTCCTTGAATCTCGCGCCTAACTCAACCGGATATTAACGTACCTGTGATACACTGGAGGTGCCGACGCCTTGAATTCATAGTGAAAGTCTTACCAGGTATAATCCAAGTCGGGAGATATAACGATCGGGACACTTCATACTCTAATTCTTTCTTATTACGATAATTTCTCTTAACAGTGTTGGAGTCAGGCATATTCGCAAGTCTTCATAAGCTGTGACTGGGAATATATTAGTAACGCATAAAATATTCTGAATAAATTACGGGAGTTGGCAACCTCTGACCATAAGGCACTTCGAGATTCAGCTGTTGCTGAGAAAACGAATAAAAAATGGATAAATTTGTGCGAAAGAATAATACAAATGAAAAGCAAGTACGAAAAGAGCAACAATACAAAATCAATAAACAAAACAACGAAGCAACACATTTAGACATTCGAAGTGAAAACTGCAGCGATGTCACTCTCTCTCTTTCCTTTTTCGCAGAAAAATAAAAGTAACTAATTGAACCAGCTAACATAACAAATTTGTGCGATTGCAATGACAAATAAAACGTCAGTGTGAGTAATCCTCAAAAACATCTATTCTCGGGCAATCGACACACAAGAACAATTGCAAAATAAGTGTCACCGATGGACGAAAGGAAATTAATGCTTTATTTAAGCTTACCGAGCTGGATATCACACTACACAAATCACAATGAAAACGCAGATAACAGTAACTGACATAAGAGTGGAGCAAGATAGTGAAAGTGGAGGTGGGCGGGCACGAGAAGGAACGTTTCCCACCAACACTGCATGCAGGCGGTGAATGTGGCTAGTGTGCACCTGATGGGGATATGATCACCAAGAGGGCGGAGGTTCTATGAATAGACCGAGGTGAGTGCGACAAGTTCTACTCGTCAGCGACGTTCGCTCTAAGTGTTGATCCTCGAGTGAGACCGTATTCGGGAGTTAAACGTTTCTTATGACTAGCGCTCGGCAGCAGTTACCAGTGATTATGTTCACCAGATGACTACAAGTTACCCTGGCCGTCTTTTGAGGTGAGTGTAATCTTAATGTTTACCCTCGCAACTCTTAACATGTTATATTTAGCCCAACAGTTGTCGAAGTTTAAGTTCTATTCCACTTTTGTCGATCAGAGGAGAAGCGGCAGGGATTCTAATGTATATCTGATTATTTCTTTTAAGTGTCGTAAAATAGTCACTTTATATATCAAATTTTCGCTTATTTTTAGCAAGGGAGATTTCTGAATTCGTAAATTATCAGGAGTACCTACAGTACTGTCAGATTTAAAGAGTTCAGCGCAGAAAAGCCAGAGTTTGCTGCTGCCATGATCCACCAAAGTCCCACCTGATATCCCATCATAACATGTCCTTAAATTTGGTTGGTGTTGCTTCGTTTAAGCAAGGTAATAATCTTGATGGTTCGGCTAGTTGTCACGAGGCTATTGCAATAAAGAATTTGTACCGACCGGTCTGTTTGTATTAATTGGTGCAAAAAATGTAGTTTAGAATCTTTAGTGTATTTTATAGTGTTTGTCCGGTTGTGTAATGATCAAGCTAGGTTCATCAGTAATATTTATCTTGTGTAGTACAGGCCATCCTGAGAGATGGTAATTCCCGAGTAATATCTACAGTTCTGTTGGAAAGAATTATTTGAAGCTTCTGCAGCTACTGAATCAATGGAATACTCGACTATCCTCATTGCCCACCTGAAGTCTCCCAGTTAGGCTGACGGATTTCATCACCTTGTGTATGAAATCTATCGTGTGTGTAATGGAATATGACAAGGAAACATAACCAGCTTTTGTTCCTACAGAGAATGCATCAACACTACTAATTTTTAGTTTTATAATAGAGAGAAAAAAGAACGTTTTCCTACGCTTCCACAGCAGTTCAGGCACCACTGAATGTATATATCTGGAGTATACCTAGAAAGGGTTTCGGGGGTCAACTCCCCAGCGGTCCGGTCTGAGACCAGGCCTCGCAGGGGATCAGGGTCTGATCAACCAGGCTGTTACTGCTGGCCGCACGCATAATGTACGAACCACAGCCCGGTTGGTCAGGTACTGACTTTAGGTGCCTGTCCAGTGCCTTCTTGAAGACAGTCAGGGGTCTATTGGTAATCCCCCTTATGTATGCTGGGAGACAGTTGAACAGTCTTGGGCCCCTCACACTTACTGTGTTGTCTCTCAGTGTACTCGTGGTGCCCGTACTTTTCATTGGGGAACTGTTGCATCTCTTTCCAAGTCTTTTGCTTTTTAGTGAGCGATTTTCGTGCGCAAGTTTGGTACTAATCCCTCTAGGATTTTCCAAGTGTATATTATCATGTATCTCTCTCGCCTACGTTCCAGGGAATACAAATCAAGGGACTTCAACCGTTCCCAGTAATTTAGGTGCCTTATCGTACTTATGTGTGCCGTGAAAGTTCTTTGTATACTCTCCAGGTTAGCAATTTCGCCTGTCTTGAAGGGGGGCGGTTAGTGTACAGTATTCCAGCTTAGCGAGAACAAGCGATTTGAAGAGAATCATCACGGGCTTGGCGTCCCTAGTTTTGAAGGTTCTCATTATTCACCCTGTCATTTTCCTAGCAGATGCGGCAGGTATGTTGTTGTGGTCTTTGAAGGCGAGATCCTCTGACATTATCACTTCCAGATCCTTCACATTACTTTTCGCTCTATTGTATCGTTAGAATTTGTTGTATACTCCGAGATAGATATGGAAAACTTGAGGAAATTAAAACTGAGTAGGTGAAATTTCTCTTCACTGAACTTCATATTGTTTTGAGTGGCCCATTTGAAGATATATGTCCGCTTGGTGTCTTGCGGTGTCTTCAATGGAGGTCACTGTCATGGCAATTCGGGTGTCATCAGCAAAGGAAGACACGGAGCTATGGCTTACATCTCTATGTCAGATATGAGGATGAGGAATAGGATGGGAGCGAGTACTGTGCCTTGTGGAACAGAGCTTTTCACCGTAGCTGCCTCAAACTTTACTCCGTTATTACTCTCTGTGTTCTATTTGTTAGGAAGTTATATATCCATCTAACAACTTTTCCTGGTATTCCTTTATCACGCATTTTGTGCGTTATTACATTGTGGTAGCACTAGTGGAAGGCTTTTGCAAAGTCTGTGTATACTACATCTGCAGTTTATCCTTTATAGCATCCAGGACCTTGTCATAGTCGTCCAGTAGCTGGAACAGGCAGGAGTGACCCGCTCTAAACCCGTGGGAGGTTAGTGCTATCGGTCTGAAGTTCTTTGCAATTGCTTTACTGCCACCTTTGTAAAGTCTGATGTTAGTGTGGGATGATCCCTGTGTCCATGCTCCCTCTCCACAGAATGATGCTGAAGGCACGTAACAGGGGCTTCTTGCAGTTGTTGATGAACATGGAGTTCCACGAGTCTGCCTTTTCAAAGTCTTGTGGTGTTAGGATAATATCCGAGATTTCTGGGATGACCAAATTTTGGGTCTTTGTGAATTAGATAGTCGACCCTTAGTCTGGGTAACGGCTCGCTGAACACAGAGTCGTATTGAGAGAGACTTTAGTATTTCACTCATTTCTTTGCTGTCATCTCTGTATGTCCCATCTCGCCTAAGCTGGGGCCCAATACTTGATGTTGTTTTACCCTTAAATTTGGCATAAGTATTTTTTTTCAAATATATTGTCCCCTCTTAGCTCTGATTCTTCGCCTTCGTATGTATAGGGAGCATCTCTCTCTAGTTTACATCTTCTCTTTTTTTTTTCCTAATGGAATGTGCCTTGAGCAGACCTCAAGTGCCACAGAGTTAATATGTTCCAGGCAAAGGTTCGGATCCATGTTTAGGATATCTTCCCAGCTCGTTTTATTTAGTACATGGTTGATTTGCTCCCATTATATGTTTTCGTTATTGAAGTTGAATTTTGTGAAGACACCCCCATGACTGATCACATTTTGCAGGTCAGGAGTCCTATGCATACATATCTGTACATCTTATGTTGTAATCTGAGTGTACTGTCTTTGATACGGTTATATTACGTATCAGATCATCGTTGTTAGTGAAGATGAGGTCCAGCGTTATTTCTAGTCTTGTAGGCTCTAATATTTGTTGGTCTAAAGTCAGGTTTTTTTTTTACTTGACGAAAATAAAACTAAAAACAACCTAGTGTAAAAGTTAAAACAAAAACCTGTGTAAATATTGTATTTAATCAGATCATATATCTCCATATTATATCATAATATTCCATACCAGTGTCCAGTTCACACTACACCCACCCATCCTCTTCTACTCAATAACCCCTACACACTTTCACACTGACCTGTTGTATCCCATCCCTTGCTGTGACCTAGGTCGATACAGCTGGCTAAAGCAAAAAGTTGGTGACCCCCTTCGCAGACTTTCTCTAATAAGAAATTTACTGTTTGCCCAAATATTATCTTAATGCCTACAAAAGCAAATAATTATACTTGCAAATATTTAAATTAAATAAACTGGTTAATTACTAATGTTTGCATATATGCGTCTGCTATGCCTGTGCTAACATGGCTTGGTAAACTACAGTAGTGTTTTATTTTAGCAATGTATTAAAGCGAAAACAAGGATCTTACCGAACATTGTTTGAATTACTTAATTATATTCAAGGGAAGCGCCTAATTAGTAGGGGTCATACAGCGCCTGGGAAATTGGAGGTAATCAGGTTTGATCCGAAAAAAGAGAGGGGTAACTACATTCTCTTGAATCAGGAGAGTGAACTATTGGCATTTAACACATATTCCTTAAAATTAAACTATAAGAAAACTGAATAAACTATTTTGGCGTCCACGATCAGTGGTGTTGTTGCATATGTCGAAACTTATTTAGGTCATTAATAATTTTTTTTATTGTCATGTGCTTCTGAGGGACCCCCCCCCCCCCACATACAAAAGCAAAAATATATAGAAGCCAAGGTTGACCATTGCGTTCTGTTTACCAGGTCACAGCCTCACTTAAATGCCATTTTAAGAGCTTGTCAACCTTGAATATATCCACCACAAAATGTTTATTACTTGGGTTAACAGACGGGTCGAGAGCTCAGCGTGGCAGCTTACTCACAATGGCAACTGCTGCCGAGCAGAGACGAGGATGCAGTCTTCTAGCGAGACGTGTTTCCGTGGATATATTTGAGGAAGAGTTTGACTCGTAAACTCGAGAATATTTTGCCCCCATTAAAAAGAATACAAGATGTGAGAATGATTCCCTCCTGACAAACTTTACAATGAAATAAGATCTAATTCAACGGAGGAGTATACATTTATAAATATTTGTAGCCTAGCTGTAGTACCACTCAAAAGTCCTGGGATGCTCAATGAGCCATAGATGCACGTTCCCCGATGAAATTCTTTCAGAGCATTTAGCGCATTCTGACCATCATGCTGCTTGTCGACAGTCAGTTCAACTGCTCACGAGAGGATCTTGACACCCAAAGGAAATAAAGCATACTATGTGGGAGTGTTGGGATAACTTAAGTTAATAATCCTCTGAGAGATAAAAAGTCGCAAATCTGTCTTCTACCAGATCATCACTGTTGAGTTTAGACCCTAAGACATTAATTTATTAACTACTTACAATCTGGCTGGTCATAATCGCTAAAGGAAGCCAGAGCAGCCACGTGAGAGGCGGTGACTAGACATGTAGGGTCTCGCTGAGAATGTCTGCTGATATTAATTCAACAGTAAGACTGATGATAAACATCAGAGTGCGACCAATGGAACTGAAGCGTCGTTCAAAGTCACGAAAGAATGGCCTTTGTGGTGGTCAGTAACATTTATGACCGGCTACATATAGCAAGACTTGAAGTGCACGATATTTGGTCATACACTCAAGCCTACCAGTTTCAACTCGTGTATTTGTCTAACATTTTTTTTTTATGTTCCTCAGCGTTCTCTTTACTGACGCTGCTTGGTCTGTAAAGAATAGTACGAATAGTTAACAAAATACTCGGAGAATGTTGGAGAGTATTTCACGCTTGTCCCAGGCAGAAACACACTAAATGTTGCACCCACACAGTACCCTGCCTAACG